ACTGCTCTAACTTGGTAAAACCCCTGAGTATGGCATTAAAAAGGCCCCACTTGCAGCAGAGGCAGTGTGCTGTGTGTATCAACAGGAACTGCTGCTCTTGAACTGGTTATTTGTTATTGTGTACACACATGAATTGCAGAAGAGTGATGTATGTCTCCACATATCACAGAATCACAGAATGCTCTGGATTGGAAGGGACCTTAAATCTCATCTAGTCCCAATCCCCTGCCATGGGCAGGGACATCTCCCACCAGACCAGGTTGCTTAAAACCCCATCCAAACTGGCCTAAATACATAGAGAAGTACATGCCTTCTGCAAAAAGTACCTTGACACTCAGGCACTCATTTCCCTTTTTTAAAAGCTGTCTTTACAAAGTTTTCACACTGTCATAAAACTGGTTTTTATTCTACAGGTGAAACAACATCAGGTCAAGGACAGAAAGGGCAGATCTTGCCTTGGCCCTCCAGGTGCAGTTGCAGCCCCTGTGTTCAGTAACCTGATGCCTTCTGCTAAAATACAACAGCTCTTTGCAGCTTTGCATTTCAGGAAGCAGGAAAAAACTGACCTGCAAACCACTTGCTCGCTCTGAAGGTTTCCATCGTGAATTTGAGGAGTGCAGTATGAGAGGATTTAAGGTTTCCATCATGAGCTGGGGGAATGCAATACAGGTGGATGCTAACACTTACGCTTTACTTGTACCATCCTGTGGTGCCTGGCTTCTTGGGGCAGTGCTGGGGGAACCACAAAATTCCCAAGACATGGCTAAGCCAGGGATGGGAAAGTTATTTGCCATCAAAGTGCATGGCAGTAAAGAGAGCTGGAAGAAAATTTTCCTTTGAGCATTCAAAAGGTTTGTAACATTTTGGGGTTTCACTGAGGTCAAAAGCTGTTTTCCCACGTCTGGCATATTTCTTTTGTTCAGATTGATGGCCTCAGTGATTCCGTCAGAGGTTTTTCCTCCCCATTGAAAAGGGCAGAGAAACGCAATCAAACTCTCCTGGCCGCACTGTGTGCTTGGAGAGGAGTGGTTCCCACAACAGAATTACATCCCAGGGGGCACGGACCAGACAACCCCATCAGACCTGAAGGGAGCCTACAAGGAAGAGGAAGAGAAGTTTCTTACAAGGGCATGTAGTGACAAGACAAGGAGAGGGTGACTTCAGACTGAGAAAGAGAAGGTTTAGATTCAATACTAGGAAGAAATTCTCTGCTGTGAGGGTGGGGAGGCCCTGGAACAGGTTTCTCAGAGAAGCAGTAGGTGCCCCGTCCCTGGAAGTGTTCAAGACCAGGTTGGATGGGGCTCTGAGAAACCTGGTCTAGTGTCCCTGCCCATGGCAGGGGGGTTGAATTGAGATGGTGTTTAAGGTCCCTTCCAACCAAGATCATTCTGTGATTCTATCAATATTTCTTTCACAGATATTCCCATTTTGCTAAACATAAACACAGGCCAAGAAAAAGCCTGCGGCCAGCTGTGGAACTCAGATCACCATGCGAAGCCCAGGAAATTTGTCTGCACTCTCAAAAAAGCCACTGCTGGATGGAGAGGTGGCCTGCAAGTGCATGGGTCTCTCTGTTTCTCCCATCAAATCCAGGAAAATAATGGGGTTGGATAAGTACAGCTTGTATGCCGTGGCTGCCCCAAGTTCAGCTGCCACAGCCAGGCTCAGCACTGCTGCCTCCCACCACTTCAGCCACCAGCTACTTATTTAAAATAGAATTTTTTCTTCTTAGAATTAAAAAAAAAAAAAAAAAACCAAAAAACTAAAAAAAACAAAAAAAAAAACAAGACAAGAAACCTTTATTTTAAGGTTATGCAAACTCATGTTTTCAAAAACCCAAATGGATCCAAAAATACCTGCTTTAACCCCCAATGCTGATTTCTGGGTAAATTGCTGCATTCAGCTCTGGAGGCCACCCCCACTGCACAAAGAACGTCATGTGGGTGGATAATAAAAGCATAGATTGACGTGGGCATTTTTTAGCCCTGCCTAACCCATCAGGAAAACTGAATCTGACAACTTCATCACATAATCATCCTGAAACTGGAGGCAGGAATATCTCCAGCGATGGCACAGCCTGTGGCTGACCTTCCCAGCTGCTTATCCTGGCAGCCCAGCAGCAAAGAGCAGGAGTTTCCCCCTGCAATGCTTACAGTGCACAGACACGCGGCACAAAAACCGAATACATAAACTCCTAAAAATCCCTTTAAATCCTCTCAAAGAGCATCTTTTGGTCACACTCCTTCCACCCATCCAAAACTTCACCCTGTGAAATCCTGCCCTTTCAGATGTCAAGCAGGGTGGTCCTGCTTATACACAGATGAACAGCATTTGATAGGGATAGTCCAATAACCCCAGTGTCCCCCAAAACCTTGCAGATGTCCTTGGCAGGTTCTGGGCAAATCCCTGCGTGAGCCCAACATGAGCCGCTCCTCCCTGAGGCCAAGTGGGAGGTTTTCCCAGAGAAGGGCAGTGCCCAGGAGGGATGGTCCCGTGGGAAGCTGTCCTGGCAGGACCAGCAGGCAGCAGTCAGCCCTGGCACCGGCTCCCTGGCTTTTGGGGAGCAGCCAGCCAGCGGGAGGCAAGTTTTGGGCGCTGCTGGCCAGGACACGGCTGTAGTGGCAGCATGTCCCCAGGAGCACACAGCCGGATACCCTGGGCCCTGTTGGCAAGGCACTCGTGCCTCCCGCCCACACTAAACCCAAATCAATCCAGTTTTTCTCTCCATGCATGAAGTGAGGAGGACAGGGACACGCAGTCCCCTGCCCCGCTGTGCCAGGCTGCTGTGCACCCCAGCACCACTCCCACAAGGATGAAGATGGACACAGGGTCATCGACAAATTTGCAAGAAGCGGTTTCACCCCTCTCCTGACACGTTTCCACTGTGCTTCTCGCAGGCTGAGCTCACTGCAGAGCTGCACGCCTCTTCCTGGAGGGATCCCAAAAAACCTGCTCCATCCCCACCGCCACCAGCTGTCGCTATGTGACCATCACCTCCGACGGCCCCGGGGTGTGACCCAGCCGTGTGACACAGGGGGCACCAGAGCGTGGCCCTGCCTGGACAGCAGCACCGCTTGCTGGCCGCGGGAGGGCTCCCAGCCCTGCCTGCCCCGCAGCAGCTGCAAACACTCATTGCTACAACTCTAAACTGCAGCGACAGGGATGTGACCCGCACCGAACACAAGATAGCCATTGCTGTCATTCACCCCAGTGGTGGAGCTGCACTCCGGAATTTTGGTGCTCATGACCCTGACAGGCATCACTGCCATCACAGTATCCCCAGCTATTCACACAACTGATGTGAGAGGTCCAAAAAATAAGGGCCAGGTCACAGCTGAGGTATTCACAGTGAAGTGGGGACTAGTGGGATGAAGGGTCAGGAAAGAGGCTCCTTCCCAAGACAGCAGCATGGGGAAGCCACAAGTTTCAGAGCTGATCTCATATAGAAGCAGAAAAAGGTTTTCACAGGGTGAATATTAAAACACAATTTCCATAAAAACCACTAGTTGTTCAGCTCCCAGCCTTCAAGTGGTGGAAACAGCCTACAAATTAAGTGTGGTTGTGCTATAAGTAGCAGAAAAAGATTTCAGTTTTTTACTGGTTCTTGAATTTGGTTCTGCAATGCTCAGACATGAGACCTGAGAGCTGAAGGGAATGTACCCACTCACCCTGGCCCCTTGGGGACTGTCCCCTGCAGAGCCACAACTCCATGCTGTAAAACTGCACAGTGACACAACGGCCGAGGCTTCAGTTTCAGCATCGAAACCCACATTGTACTGCTTGTCTTGCACATGTGAACAAGGAAGAAGAGCCTGGGTGGCATTTATAATAATGTGAGTTTAAATAACATGTTGTTTATTTGCTGATAGGAGGGAAAAACCAACCAAAGGTCACACAGGGTAAAACAGGCCTTACTCATGGTAACACCTTTACCTTGCTCACCTGCATCTCTGCTGCAGGGAACTGGTACCAGGCGCCACCATGGGCACACAAAGCCAGTGGACCAGAAGAGTCCTCACGGCCTGGGACCTTTCCAGCACCTCAGGAAGAGCAGCACAACCCTTGCTCACATTGCAGGAGGTGATGGCCCTAATACAGCAAAGCCTCAGGCCCAGCTCACTGGGGTCATCAGCCAGATTTTCCACTGCACTGCAGGTCCACCAAGGGGCAGGGGTGGCCTTTGGGGCACCTGGAAATAGAGGGAGTGGGAACACCCTCAGCTTTTGCTTTCCCCCTCCTCCCGGCATGCTGTGGCTCTCCACACAAATATCCTGCCCTTTGCTTCCCGCTCCTTCTGGTCCAGACCCAAACTGCAGACTCTGGCACACCCAGGAGAAAAAAAACAGCAACACCTCAAACCACACTACAGTGGAGTTTGGTGGTTTTAATAATGATTAAAGAAATCAACAGGGTATATTTCAGCTTTGAAATACAAGTGCAAAAAGGATACAGTATAATGTTTTCTGTACATTTCTTACAAAATAATAAAAATATTACATACATCCCATCCTGAAGTAGTACTTCACACCCTGCTGTGCCCATGCACCCCACGTGCACACCAGCTGTAGCTTTTCCTTTTTATGTGCTGGACATAGAGTTAATGGAAAGCGCCAACTGGAGTCTGGGTAGGTAAACACAAGGAGTGAACACAGGGACCTGCCCAGCATGCCCAGAAGTGCCAAGCCACCACTGTGCCCCTGGGGCAATTGGGCAGCATCACCCTGCTGACCCTCACAGCTCTCAGCTGCTCTCCAGTTTGATACAGAAAATACCCTTTCTTGCTGTGGTTCGGTGTTCTCCCTGTGCCTGGCAAGCCTTTCATTCATTCCCTGTGTAGCATGCCCAGGCCTAGCCCTGGCAAACCTGGCTCCATTTTAACCACAGCATTAACCAGTCCACTTTAACCACTTCTTGAGAAGAAGTCAACCAGGCTATATGGCAAATAAATTAACCCCTCCTCCCCCCACACCCCTGATGCCGCTGAGGTCCCGGGGCACAGGTCAGTACCCATCCTGGCAGTCATTGTCATCATAGTCAGCAGCAGGTCTGCGCCGGAGGGCGCCCAGCTGCTGCTTGTGGGCCCCGCTCTCCAGGCTCTGCAGGGAGCTGTCGTCCCCGTGGCTGCTGGACTCATGAGTGGCATCCTCCTGGGAGTGGCTCTCTCCCTCATCCTCATCTTCCTGGGACTCGCTGTTGTCGCTCTCTGCGGACCTGCTGTCCTCACCTGTGTTGTCCTCTGGGCTGCTGTTATCCTCTGGCACCTCTGGGCTCTCAGCTGATGTGCTTGGCACAGAGTCATTCTCATCCTCCTCCGACTCCTCCACAGTTTCCTCTGTGGAATGGCTCTGGTCATCATCATCTTCCCTGGACTTGCTCAGTTCAGTCTCTTCTTCCCTGGACTCACTGTCAGGTGTGGACAGCACACTCCTGTCCTCAGCAGAATCCCAGTCCTCCTCACCTTCCCAGGTTTGACTGTTGCTGTGCTCATTCAAGGTTCTCACCACCTCTGGGGTCTGCCCTGGCACTTCATCTGACTGCTCCGCCGTGGTCTCCCTGGACTCACTGTCCTCATCTTCCCTGGAGGGGCTGTCCTCCCCATCCCCATCCCCATCCTCCCTGGAGTGGCTGGAGCTTTTTTCCTCTGACTGGCTGTCAACAGGCTCTTCTGACTGACTGTTGTTCTCCACAGATGGGCTGTCTTCTTCAGAGTCCCCATCCTCCACCTCGGGGGATCTGCTGTCACCCTCCTCCCAGCGGTGGGAGCCAGCCCCCTGGGCACTCTCCCCACTGTTCCCCAGAGCGTGGGGGCCAGTGTGGCGCATCCTGTAGCTGCTGCCTGGGCTGTCAAAGACAGAGGGATCATCTCCCTGCATGGCTTCGTCCTGGAAGTCATAGCTCTCCTCCTGGCTGCTGCTGCTGGCCCCTCTGTGCCTGTAGGTGTGCCCATAGTTCCTGTAGCGTCGGTGGTCTGCCCCAGTGCTCTCGCTGCTGCTGCTGCTGCTGCTGTGCCCCACTCCAGCCCCGGCATCCCCACGGCCAGCATCGTGCTCGTGTTCCCCTGCCCCATCAGCGCCAGCCCCATAGGTAGGGCCTTCACCCCTCTCTTCTTGCCCATTGGCATCGAAGGTGTCGTCCCCACTGTCATCCTCCTCGTCCAGGAACCCGCCACCATGGGAGGGAAACGCGTTGGCTCTGGCACCGTAGTGGTCTCCGTTGTCAGCATCTTCAGTGTCACGGGCATCCACCTCCTATGGAGGTGACAAACAGATGAATGCAAAGCCAGGCACAGCCTTGACCGATGCCAGCTTTGGGGCCAAGGGAGCATTTCTGGCAGAACAAAACATTCCTCTCCACTCACTCACTCACTCACTCACCAGGAAACCAAGGTCATTCCCATTGTGGGCACTCATGTCTTCATGGTCCACCTGGTTCATGTGCTGAGCCTGCCCAACTTGGCCTCCCACATCTTGGCCACTGAGCTCATCCAGCTCCTCACGCACGGCATTCCCACCTGCCAGGTCCCTGGCAAGTGCATTTTCCCCTGTCTCTGGATTGGCAGGATGATGTCTGCCATCCCCACCATCTAGGCGGTTGCCCAGCTTGTCAATGTAATCTTCATTTGCGGTATCCTGGAGGCAAAACATGACATGGTGCTTTTGGTTTATTAAACACCAACCACAGTACTTTTACTGCTGCTGCTGCAGGGCCTCACTCCCAAGCCTTGCAAGAGCTCAAGTCTTTTCTATTACTTGCACCTCAGCCCTTTATTTATTTCTGCAGATACAAAATAAAATGCTAGCCACCAGCAAAAGGGCAGCCCAGAAAAGCCCAAGCTGGGCTATTTCAGGGCCAGCACAGCAAAAGGTGTCAGGTGAACTAGGAACTTTTACAGGGAGGCAAGTCAAAACAGGGTGAAACCAACCCAGCTTGAAAAGACTGAGCAGACAGACAAAGCTCAAAGACCCATAGAAGCAGCAGATCCCTCCTAGGTTCCTGGTGCCAGGACTGCCCAGAGCTGGCTCCCCATCCCAGACTTGCTCCCTGAGGGGCTGCTCCCTGTGGGACAGCAGCACCTGTGGCTTACCTCCTGCAGGGCGCTGGGGTGGGAGGGTTCATGGCCAGGCACCTAAACACATCCAGGAGACATTTGATCAGTGATCAGTGTGCCTTGGCCGGGCAAAACCAAGGGGTTTGGGGTGGGAGTGTCAGTCCAGGGTGTACTTACAGGGTAAGCACAGGCCACAGCCCATAGGAGCAGCACCAGGAATGCAGCCCTCATGTCAGTCGTGGTCCCTGCAGCTGCAACAAGGAATGAAATATTTGCAGGCTCGAGCAAAGCCTTTGCATGTGACTCTGGCTGGAATCTGGTCCCACAAAGCCCTCCCAAATCACAGTGCTCAGCCTGGCATGTCATCAAACAAGCCAGGGATTTGTTCTTGTGCCACCTCCTGGCACCTCCTGCGCAGAAAACTCCCTTTAGTTTGGGGTTTGAAATACCCAGCCATGTACTGGCAGATTTTTTGTCTGAGCATCATTAAGAAGCAGGAAAGCTCTCCTGAGTTTCCTGTTCCCATAGTAATGTCACCACCCAGCTGAGCTCAGTGGTTGTGACAGGAGCCTATGCCTCAGATGGGCAGCACTGTGAGACCATGGGCTGCAGACCTGCACCTCCCCCTGGAGTGGTCCCCACAGCCTCATAAAATCTCCTACTTCCAAAGTGGAGCATCCCAATGACATAATGCCACAGAGAGCTGCAGCCCCAGAGCCCTCTGGGTGGGCGCCCCAGCAGCACTGCTGCCTGGCAGGCAGATAAAGCAGTGGGGGCTTTCCTCCAGCTCTGCTCTCATTTTCCAAGCATTTTCTTTAAGCCCAGCCCAGCACCTCTTCCTTTGGGATACACTAACCACACTGAACATCACCCCGCACCCAAAACATGCTGGAAAGAGCACACTTCTGACTTCTTCCCTGACAAAGCAACACCTACATCCCAGATGATAATCCTCCTGCTTTCAACCAAAACTTGTGAGGAAATCTTCAACCCCCTTTTTCAAACATTGCCATTTTCCCTCCAGGCCATGCCAGATCAACCCAAAGAAACCAAGACCTTTACCTCAAGGTGTGATGCACGCGTCCGTCTGCTGTGGTGCTGGGGAAGGGATGAGCTGGCTGTCTGTGTTGGAATGCTCCAGGCTGTGTGTCCCAGTGTGCCAGGGCAGGCATTTAACTGCTGGTCAGTGCCAGCCCCGGGCCGGGGGCAGCCAATGGCACCAGCGGGCAGCGCTGCTGCGCCTGGAGGTGTCACCAGGAACTGGCCTCCCACACTTCCTCTGGCCTCTGCCATGACGCCGGCCCTAAAAAAGCTCCTTGTGGTTGCAGGATGATGGGATGGGAGGGCAGTTAATGACAGACTGTGCTGGCCCTGTGTTTTGACTGCTAAATTTATCCCATTCACACACTTCCCTCCATGACACACGCAAACAACTACAGCGTCACCCACGCCAAGCATTGGACCCCATCCCAGGGATGATGTCCTCCCAACCTGTGCAACCTAACCTTGGGAGCAGAGCTTGCCCTGTGCCATGGGCCAGGGTGCTGAAACACACAGGGACCATTTCCCTGCCAGGTCTCAGCCCTGTTCTGTACCTTGGGGCAGGAGCACAAAACCACCCTAGAAAGAGAGTACTCATCTTATTTTCATGCCCACACAGGTGCTTGTACCAGGGAGAAGGGAAATACTCAATAAGAAGAGTACAGGGAGCATCACTCACACTGCACTGAGTGTAGCATTCCAGGGCTCCTTCCAGCTGCTGGACAGGGAGGGGATGCTACCTCTGCTCTGGAAAACTCAGACCACAATATGTGCCATGGGGACATGGACAGGGTTGCAGCTTTGCTGACATTCACAGTAGATGCTGGCACTGTGAAATAAATGACTGAAGGAAACTTGGGCAGGGTTGGGATTAAGCCAGGGCTCTGTAAACTGCAGGTTATCTGAATTAGCTCAGGCTGTAGAAAACAGCATCCAGATGGCATGCCTCGTGCTGGACAGAGCATCTTGTGAAACCAGACATGTCAGTCTGCTGCTGGGTGTAATTTCATCCTCACAATCTCCTGCTGTTCTCCCCCTCATTAACAGCCCACAGTCCATGTGTGTCTGTCCTGTGAGGACTACAAGGTGCTGAATGTGATGAGTATAATTTTTCTTCTTCCTCCTGCGCCCCATGCAGGGAAGTGCCAGTGCCACTGTGGCCCCCCTGCTTTTCCCACAGTCCCTTGGCCTCAAGATGGTCACCATCAAGCCTCTCATTCCTGTGCCCATACCTTCAGCAGATGTTTTCCCTCTTCTTCCCCACCTGACCCCTGCTGCAGATACCATGGGATGTATTTTCCTTTTGACCTGTGTCAAAATTATACCCCTGTCCCCAGCCAGTTATGAGTTCATGTTACCAACCTTTTTTAAGCACGTCCAACAATTACCATGTTTTGTCTTTTTTTTTTTTTTTTATGCCAAACCTGCATTTAACTTAGCCCCCAAAGATCTGGTGGTGCCTCACATCCAGGTGCTGCAGTTTAAGAAAGAGATAAACACCAAGCTCTGCATGCCCGGATCTTTTATAGCACATGCCACCCATTGCCCCACCAGCCACTACCCCAAGGTCACTTCCCTCCTTTGCAAAGGCCCTGAAACACCAGCACACCCAACAATGCTCACTGACAGCACACTGACCCGACCCACACCCCTGTAATCTCCAATAGCCCTGGCTCCATCAATGAGGTGTGCACCCCAAATCCCTTCCAGAGATCATCCTACAGCATTAGCCAGATTGCCCAAGCAGACCTGCCTGTGTTTTTCAAGGAAAGGAAACCCCAGCCCACATATTGCAACCTTACCATTAACCTTATAAAGAAAAAATGATGTTAAGGATTATTATTGTTACATCAAAGGCGAGAGATGGATTGAGGAGGGGAGCAGCAGCTGTCTGTTGGGTGTTTTAAATGCCACTGGGCATTTCCACAAGCCCTACCCTACCAAGATGCTCAGGCCCTGGAAGGAAGATGGGGGAAGCCTGACCAGGCTACAGTTTGCACCCTCAGACTACCAGGGAGTATGTGGCCAAGTCAGAAACTAGAAAACTGGCAGGGCTGGTATGAAGATGCAGGAATATCACTCCTCTGTTTGAGAGTCTGGACTGTGTAGGGTTCATGAGAACAGAGGAAAGAAATGAGTGCAGACAGCAGGAGGAATAAGAGACACCAAAGCCAAAGGACTAGCTGGCACTACAGCCAGCCAGCTGGCAGAGGAAGAACAGAACAGCTGCTCTCCCCCACTGATCAGCTCAGCATCAAAACCTCAAGAACTAAATAGTGTTGAAAAAAACACTGTTTTCTCTTTTTTTTTTCCAGTCCAGGGTACTTTAATAATATTAATGTTGCTGGTGCACTTCTCTCCTGAGTAAACTTAAGGATTTTGACAGCAGCATCAAAAGGAAAAGGTTCAATGAATGAGGGGAGTAGGGAAGACTAGGATGAGAGCAGGACCCAAGACACATGTCCTCAGCACTCAACCAAACACTCAGCACCACCTCCTACCTTATGATCAGATCCAAATCCAAATCTCTTTCCCCCACACTTTCTGGTGACAGGTGTTATAACACAGTTTCATTTTGTTACCTGAGTAAACATTGTCTGCCATTCACAGCATTAGCATGACACAGAGCCCAGTAGCTAATGATGACATTTTAGGTGTTTGAAGAGCAACACTGATATTCCAACTCCTTCTGGGAGCAAGTCCCATAGCTGCAAATGCTGTGACTTGGAACTACCAGCATGTTTGTCACAACACAGAGCCATGCACAGGCTTGATTTCTTCTAAGCCTCTAAAATTTGCTACTTCTCCTTGCTGGAAAAGAACATCTCACAGGAGCCAGAGTCCAGGGGCCCTGAAATACAGACACACACAAGGCACCTGCTAATGCTAGACCTCTGCATAAAACCAACAGCCCTCTCCCCTGGTGTCCTATCAGCACAGGAGTAGGATCATTAACCCTATTCCATGTCCACCATGGAGTTTCCTCTACAGCCAGAGAAAAAAGGCACTTTAAAGGCACCAGTCATTTGCTCTATTTCAGGCACCTATTTCAGACATCATAGATTGTTTAAAGTCTCTGTGACACTGTCGAAGGGAGCTCCCAACCTTATCCTACTCACAAGATGCACCATGCCCTTTCCCAAAACCTATCCAACCTGTGCCAGCCTCACACTCTATATATGTCTATTTATAGCATTTTTCTACCATCCTGCTCTGAGCAATGACCTCCAGCAAAACCAGCCTATCGCCCCGATGGTCTGTTGGGACAAAGTCCCACAGGTGTTGTACCTGCTCTGTGCCACTTTTGCCAAAGCAAAACACGTGGAGCAATAACTGCTATCCACATCATGCCCACTGCAGCTGGAGCTCATGGCTGGACAAGTGCTTTGTGCCATCCCTCCCAGATGTGTGTGACTGGATTGTCAGGTTCTATAAATCTATATTCATCCATCAACTTGGCTGAATTCACTGATTTGAGGCTGTGACTTCATCAGGTGTGGATAAGGATGTCTCATTTCTGCCTGGCCACTTTCAGATCCAACACACCTTCCTGCACACAGGCACTGCTGCATCTTGCTGCCCTCAGTCAAAACAAGGGCAGGGACAGATGCTCAGCTCTGCCTCACAGCAGGGACCTGTTCTGACAGTGCTGGCACAGCCACCAGGTAGCTCCAGTGACACTGGGCTGTCAATAGCTCAGCACTGACAGCAGTAATCATAGAGACACTGGAAGGTAATTGCAACTCCTAACATCTCACTCAGAGTACAATATCTTTTACAATCACTTCCTGCTCACAATTCAACCCCTTGGGAGGTCGGAGCAGTAAGTGTTTGTCAATCACAAGCTGGAAGTGGAACAATAACGCAGCCTTAATATGAAAAGCTTTCTGCAGTTTTCACCCTGTGCTTGCTCCCATCCAACTGGAATTGCAAAGATCTGGAAAGCAGCATAGTGTCAGTGTTCTCAGGAAGGAAAACACAGCAGCAATCAGGGGCCAGCCTTGCCCCTGATCACATCAGGGTGACATAGGGGCAGTTGTGCTGTTTGTGCAGGTTGGGTATGTGTCTGCCTCCTGAGTCACAGCACCCTGATTCCTTGTTGGAGGGGAAAAAAACACCAGAAGGAAACGACCGGTGGAAATGACTGTACGACTGTAGGCACTGCAGGAGTGCAAACAGGTAATGTGGAGGCACAAGGTGCCCAGAGGGAG